TAAGACAATTGATATAGATCTTCTGGGTCCACTCGATCACAAAGGATTCCAAATACTTCTACGCCAAGGAAATGCAGTCGCATAAGCGACCTTCTCAGGCCCTTCTTGAATCCCAAACACTCGGAAGGCTCCTTCTAACCGTTGCAGCCATCTTTGAAAAGTTTACTGCTTCGGATCAAAGAAATCAACAATGTATAGTGTTATATATAGAAGCTTGCCCCGTTACCTGACCGGTGGGCTGTGCGGAAATAATATTGCTGCTACCTAATCCCGAGGTTCCTACGCCCGGGTTTCTATTTCCATCCGATGGCATCGTTGTCCGTTCCGAGCCGTCCTTCTAGAAAGTTCTACGCCACGCATTCACAATGTCCACGTGGCAGCTTCTAATTCAGCACGCACGCATTCGGCGCGTGTCGTTTCCACCTCTTATCCGTAATTATATGGTGGATCCCATCCTCGTCGCCAACTGTTGTGCCTTTTATAAAAGTTAAATCTCACAACGATGTTTCTGGGTTCTCAATCTTTATTGAAAAACTATGATCAATTAGTAAAAAAAAATAATTGTTTTTAAGAAAAAGTATGTAATTATTTACTATATATATTTTTAAACAATTATTTGTTTTTTTCTTTACACTAATTGATTTGTCTCATTATTCTGTACATAAAAGTATTACGGTAAGATTATCGAAAACTAAATATTGGATGATTGCATAAGTTCGTGCCCGATTTTCATAGATGGCATTAAGTTACTGCTAGATCGCTCGCGAGTGTTTGTAATGTCGTGAGATTTTGCAATGAATGCGGATGCGCGGTTAAAACGAATGCGAAACACGAATGCGGCAATTCTTACTGTAGGCTATGCCGGACACAGCAATCTCGAAATCATTTGTGTCATATGCAACCTCTTCGCAACGGGGTTAGTTCCTCTACCGAACCGTCCTCGTCAACGACGACGACTACGTTGATATCGGATACGCGAGGAACAACAAAGAGTAAAGAAACTGTTGGTGAAGAGGTAAACGAGCGCAAAAAAGGCTTCGTGGCATTTATATTTTATGATTTCGAAACGCGGCAAGACGAGACGCTCGAAGGTACGATGAACGTGAAAAAACATGTACCTACTCTCTGCGTGGCGCAACAGATTTGCGAAGTGTGCGCGCAGGAAAACGACATGTCCGTGCGATGCCGTTGGTGCGGGATACGCGAATTCATATTCAGACATGACCCCGTGAAACAATTTGCCGAATTCGCAACGCGAAAGACGAAACGTTTCAACCAGATCATATGCATAGCACATAATGCGAAAGCGTTTGACGCGCAGTTTATTCTTCAATACATCGTAGAAAATCGGAATGATTTAGAGCCGAAAATAATTTTGAGCGGCACAAAAATTGTAATGTTATTAGCAGGAAATACAAAATTCATCGACAGTGCTAATTATATGCCAATGCGATTATCTGAATTACCGAAAGTTTTTGGTCTAGGGGACTCTGTGGATAAAGGCACTTTTCCGCATTTATTTAACACTGCCGAAAATCAAACGTATGTCGGACCGTTACCAGACGCGAAATATTATTCTCCTGAAAACATGAAGACAACGGAACGCGAACGCTTTCTCGCATGGCATACGGACATGACGCGAAAAAACACCGTATTCGACTTTCAACAAGAAATTGTTCGCTATTGTCGTACCGATGTAGACATTCTTCGACGCGCCTGTATAGCATTTAGAAAAATTTTTATAAACCGCGGCAACGTATGTCCGTTCGAGGAATGCACCACTATTGCCTCGACGTGTATGACAGTTTTCCGTAAAAACTTTTTACGCGAAAAGGAAATAGGTATTATCCCTTCCGGTGGATATAGAAAAGCGAGCAATTATTCGCGTAAAGCTCTACAATGGCTGGTATGGATGGAGCGTGAAATCGGGCATCCTATAAACCATGCGGGGCGTGCGCGTGAATATCGCACGATTGATGGCACGCTCGTCGACGGATATTATGAAACGACCGTTGTTGAGACGACACAGCGTCACTTTTTACAATTTCACGGATGCTTTTGGCACGGGTGTCCGACTTGCTTTCCTTCGAATCGCGATAGAGCGCTTTCTTCGACTTCGGATCATGGAGATACGATTGCTTCGCGATACGAGCGAACTCTCGCGATCTCGTGGCGCCTTCGACAACGGGGGTACATGGTGACGGAAAAATGGGAATGCGTTTTTGATCGGGATATGCTCGAGAATCGCGAAATGCGAGAATATCTCGAAAACCATCCGATGGTGGAAACACCACCGCTCGACCCTCGCGATGCGTTTTTCGGCGGCCGTACGGGAAATATCGTGACTCGATACGAAGTTACGGGTGCAGAGAAAATACATTATGTAGACCAGTGCTCGGAGATAGTTGCCTTTTTCGGGCCGATTTCGTGGCTCACGCCTATTGCCCCCCACTCACCGCTCGTGCGTTAGCGACGAGTCGCCAGATACGCGTAACTAAGGAGCGCGACGTTTTGTCTCAGGAGCGTCCGTATATAAGAATGTCCAAATATAATAGTAAGACAATACTTTTCTAAATGCACGGCGAAAATTTTCAAAATTAAAAGTTTTTCTTCAATATTTTATATTTCATTGATATAAAATATTGAAGAAAAACTTTTATTTATAGAAAAGTATTGTCTTATTATTATATTTGGGCATTCTTATATACGGACGCTCCTGAGACAAAGCGTCGCGCTCCTTAGTTACGCGTATCTGGCGACTCGTCGCTAACGCACGAGCGGTGAGTGGGGGGCAATAGGCGTGAGCCACGGAATCGGCCCGAAAAGGGCAACTATCTCCGAGCACTGTTTCATACAATAACGCGCGCGCGCGCGCGCGGCGCGATACGATATGAGGATATATAACAAATCTGGATATGCCTTTATACAGCGTTTTACACTCCTGTTACAAAGTCGTTTTAATAGACAAATGAAAAAATGTGTGCGCACATATATACATATATAGCAGAAAGAATTCGGAGTCACTATAGAATACTATAGAAGTGACGAATTATATGATCCTTTTCCTGCTGCATACATAAGTATACATATACGCACGCATACATACATACACGCGTATGCACCCGTATGCCGCCACACATATACAGGGTGTTCCAGGAGTAAAGGTCAATATTCTGGGAAGTGATCGTATCGGTCATTTTAAGCAAAAATGTTCATATGAATATATGTCCTATTACTCACGGTTTCCGAGATAGAGCGACTTGAATGTACAGTTGCAAAATTACTGACAAGAAAGAAATACTACGTACTATTTCTAACATTTATTGTTCAAGTGATACATTTTTTACAGATTATAATAAATTTTCAAAAATTCCACCGTTAACATCAATGCATTTTTCAACTGTTGTGTGAACATGGCGTGTTGCTCGTCTGAGTACATCGTGACGTTCCTTTATGCGGGCACTAGCATCCATTATTTGAGCGAGCAGTTCGTCTCGTGTATTCACTTTTCTTCTGTACACTTCAATCTTCATCCGTGAACCTGTACAGTGAAGTGTACAGAAGAAAAGTGAATACACGAGACGAACTGCTCGCTCAAATAATGGATGCTAGTGCCCGCATAAAGGAACGTCACGATGTACTCAGACGAGCAACACGCCATGTTCACACAACAGGTGAAACATGCATTGATGTTAACGGTGGAATTTTTGAAAATTTATTATAATCTGTAAAAAATGTATCACTTGAACAATAAATATTAGAAATAGTACGTAGTATTTCTTTCTTGTCAGTAATTTTGCAACTGTACATTCAAGTCGCTCTATCTCGGAAACCGTGGGTAATAGGACATATATTCATATGAACATTTTTGCTTAAAATGACCGATACGATCACCTCCCAGAATATTGACCTTTCCTCCTGGAACACCTTGTATGTGTGTGTGTGTGTGTATGTGCGCGTGTGTGCATGAGCGTGTGCATGTACGTGTGTGTGATGTTATCAACTTTGATGGTATCAAACTCTAAGGTTTTTTTGCTGTTTCCTCGTGGCATTTACATTCATTCGCAAAAAAAACGATTAATCATGATTAGTCGTATACGCAAGACGTCGCGAAACACTTTGTACGACACTATTGATCGCTGAACAATCACACGAAATACACAGTTTATTATATTAAAAGAGAGCAACACGAAAAGCACGATTCGCGCTCGTTTCGTAGCCAAAATCATGGGCTACTTGTTACAACAAATATCTTCATTGTTGATATACAACAGTGCTGGGATTTAGATGCAATAAAATGACCGATACGGTCACCTCCCAGAATATTGACCTTTCCTCCTGGAACACCCTGTATACTCACCTATTCAATGAAATCCGACCGCGCGCAGTTTTACATGATATATTTTGGATAAATCGAATATCGGTGATACATTACTTTTAAGACCAATATCTCTATGAGGTTTTAACACAAAAAAATTGTAATGACATTATTATGAAAAGATTTGAGTGCTAGCTAGTAGAATTTGCAATAAAATTGAAGATATTTCAATTTTGTTGAAGTTAAGTTTTAATGCAATCTATACATATGAGTGTACAGTCGTAAACACACAAATTTTTTCTGATAAATCATTTTTTGGAGGAAAAAATGCGCGAAAATAATAAGTTCTATATATTACAGCGATATCGTGGCCGCCGATGGAGGCTACATCCGGAAGGTTCAAGTCCTCGCACCATCGGGCTGTTCGTGACGTGTACAACTTTAAGATGTTGAATTGGTTTATCGGGGCAGCGAATAGCCCGAGAGATCTAGCAGTATTGATCGATAGTGCGACTTATGTATCTGATAAGAATCGGCAATTGACGATAGCCACGACGAGAGTCATTCTAGATACCCTAGGACCGAACGATTACGTGAATGTATATCGTTACGGTGAGAACGCCGAGGAAATCGTACAATGTTTCAAGGACAGCTTGGTACAGGCATCACCAGAAAATATTCACGAAATGAAAATAGCATTATCTTTTGTGAAACATGAGGATCCTGCAACCAACATCTCAGCCGCGCTAAGTACCGCCTTCGAGATCTTGCACAAATATAATCGAACCGGCCAGGGAAGTCAGTGCAATCAGGCCATTATGTTGATTACTTGCGACACTAGCGGCCCGCCCATGGAAGTGATAAAACGTTACAATTGGCCGCACATGCCTGTCCGCATCTTTACTTACCTCATCGGCGGTGATAAAAGCCCCGAGCTCCGGAATACAGCTTGTACCAATAAGGGTAACGTTATTCGTTGATAGCTTAAATACATTAACTATGACTATAACAACTATATATAGCTATAAATAGATGAAAAAAATTTGTGGTTTAATTGTGAAAATCTCTAGTTTAATTGTGAAAATGTCTATTTAAAATATATTTAAGAAAGTTAAAAGAGTGAGTGGGGGGGGGGGGGGGAATTAGAAAAAGGATAAATACAGGGT